GTGATATGTAACAGCACATCTGGAAACCTGACTGTAGTAATAGTGTTTGTTTAGAGTTGATGCTTCACTTAAATAAACACATTAGCAAGATTTTAATGAGAATACATACACACATATATGAATACATCCAGAATACATACATTAGTAGATTAATGAAAAGTGTGCGAAGAGAAACTAAGAAAATGGCCCAAAAAATGTCAGGCCCTGAAAAGTTGAAAAAGCAGGATTTGAGGTTGTCCACTAAATCTGGAAAAAAGCAGATTGATGTAGTTAAATCATTTTGTTTGTTAGTTTTTGTCTGTATGTCTAATACAGATATAAGATATAACGAGTATATAAAGAGTAATCTGCCCTCCAATAAGTAGAATACAGCATATAAATATGACAAATTGCAGATTCAGAGATATATGTATGTGTTTTTCTGACTGTATAAGATGACAAACAAATACAAAGAAAACCTTTCAAACATGAAAACACATTAAGTCAATACATATGCTAAGACCTATACTCTGAAACTGACAACAGCATGTTGTAGGTAAACAAGTACTTGAGACACAATTCTGCTGCTATGTGCTATATACCTGCTGTTGAGAAACACACCCACAGTGACCTCTCTGGGTGGCGACTTCTAGTGTTTTAGTTCATCCTGGCAGTGATGAATGACGGCTGAGTGTCTCTGGTACCAACATTCTGGGGAGTTGAACACTTTCTTCTGGATTTGAAAATTGAAAAACTGTTGCCAGCGTGGCAACATACCTTTGACTACATGGTCTATGTTATAGTTAGAACAGTTTTGTTCATATCATTAATGTGTTAACTAACCTTATCCCTACATTTCTCTACATTTCCAGGCTGAAGAAGGGAACATTGAATATAAGGTAACTAACCTTCCATTTCTTATCCAAATTACAGAATAGAATAGAATAGAATAGAATAGAATTCAACTTTATTGTCATTGCACGTGTCACAGGTACAAGGCAACGAAATGCAGTTTGCATCCATCCAGAAGTGCTTTAGCCATGATATAGATATATTACAATATCTATTAGCAATAATATAGATATGTGAGTATATTACAGAAATGGGTCTATTATGGTATGTTATAATGTACACGGTATGAAGTATGTTATGAATATGCTATTACTATAAGTATGTACAGGCTATGAACAGGGTATAAATATGAAAAAAAAAAACTATACAGAAATATGAGATATTCAGCTATACAGAAATGGGAACTATGCAAGTTGTAAACACTTGTAGAATTAAAAATTATCGTATGATTATTTACACAGAACAATGCAGTAGTGCAGTTAAGAGGCTATATAAAGTGCTAGTGGTTGTGAGTGGTGGTTCAGTCCATGTTATTATTGTGTGTTTGAGGGTACAGTTGTCCATTGTGTGTGT